TGTGCGTGGATCCGCGCGGATATATGACGTCAGGATGGCGCAATTTGTTCTAAAAATAGAAAAATTGTCCCATATCATAGGTACGCGCGGATCCCAAGGCTTACGGTCTCCGTCCCCGATTATGGCTCCTGCTGGCAGTCAATCCTTATTTAACTGAAAGCCGCTTTTTAAATACAATGCATTTCAAAAACGGATGATGAGGTGTTTGGATATAGCAGTCGCGTTTTTTAGTTGTTTGGCTGATAGGCTCCATAAAAGGCTGTTGCAATACCCGGGGTGCAATATAGCTGAAACGCTCAATACGTAATATATTTATATCCGATCTGATTAACAGACGTACAAGACCATACCAGCTCCCACTAACTGCCTCCTGCCATCCATATCTTACCTGTTTAAGTTGGAAGACCATACCAGCCCGTATTGACTCCACAATAGCTGGTGTTCCACCTTCTTCTCTTTCTTCGATGTCTTTTAGATACAAATGCGTGTCACGTGTCACCTGCGTAAGATTACGAAAAAGTCGTTATTATCAAGTATATACACGCGTGCTTTAAGGTCGGCACACATGAGGCGACTAGTCCCTGCGACTATTCCCCTGAAGAGTTTACGCGAAGGGACTGGTCGCAGGGACTGCCCCACCATGGAACAGTTCACATGAAGCGTGTTGAGGAACAAGTCGCAGGGACTCGTCCCAAAAATTCAAACTGGTTTGAATTCGTGGGACTAGTCGCAGGGACCAAAGTTGGTCCCTGCGACTAGATTTTGAAGCACAAATGGCCAGTTCACACGATGGGACTTGTCCCCGCGACTAGTTTAAGAGTTTACACCAAGGGAATGGCCAGTTCACACGATGGGACTTGTCTCCACGACTTGTTGCAGGGACTAGTCGCAGGGAGTAGTCCCCTCATGTCCGCCGATCTTTACTGGAAAATACACCACTTGTAAAATTCATACGAAACTACATCCGGGATTCGGGTGGCGTATTTTCCATATCCTCACTTGTAAAGATATTGATGACTTCACTGATTTCATTTTTGACTCTTAAACTGTACTTAAATTTGTTGATGTATGATCGAAACATCTTCGGATCCTCTATTTAACCAATACTTTTGTTGCAAAATTTAACTACAAAGGACAAGTAGTGGAAGCTTAATTTGTCTTCCTCGATTAAACAGAAACTTTATAATGTTTAAGTGCGTATTGTCGGTATGGTATGCTAGTGTCATAGAAACCCGAGAACTTGTTCCCTAACCCAAGAGCCTAATAACTCTCACAATTTCAACTTTGAAATAGTTACTACTGAACTATTATAGAGGCTACCTCACCGATGGCACCTCTTTACAAATTTAGCCTGTATCCGGTGATGCCGGTCTCATTTTTGTGCCTATCTAGCGTACGCGAATGCCGCTCTTGTTTCAGGATTCTTTCAGCGGCGGAATATCTCACGAGAACGGAGCAGCAAAATACTCGCCACGAAATCCCGTCAGCTCCGGTCTTAATTCAGCGTTGTAATGTTTTTTCTACATTAGAAAACAATTGTTATTATTTTATTTTTTTTCGTCAATTCTGAGGTGACTTCATACATCGCAAAAGTGACAAAATGTCAAGTGGCATATGTTTAAAGGAGAAGATCACTCCAAAAAATGTGTATTTTTTGTCAACGCTAATAAAAACCTCGCAGTAAGTTTAGCCACTCACTGAGGTTTCAGCCTCTATAGTGCAGCTTTTCCTCATGAAACTCAGTTTGTCTCCAAAGAAACCCAAAATTCGACATTGTTGCCGCCATTTTGAACAGTGATCAACAGCCAGGCCGCGTTTTCATGACGTCATTCCGTCCAAGAGATTTTGTCCAAATGGCTTTCGGCAAGCCTTTTAACTACCACTCTGGGTTATGGCTGCTCTAAAGCCATATTTGTTTGAGCCAAACTTGCTCCAAACTCCGAAAATGATAGCAGTTAAGATAACGAAGTGGATAATCGCTTGGAAAAAAATACATTTTGCTGACCTTGTGACGGATGCAAAGACAGTTGAAGGGTTTTCTTCTTCTCGCAATTTCGCCTGGCAGTTTCATAATGGCGGCCTCTGAAGTTGGCTTCTGAATTCTTCAGGATAGCAGGCACTTTACAGGCTGAAACTTCGGTGAGTAAAAAAGCTCAATGTTTACTTGCTATAGGTGAAGACAAAAAAGTAAGCTTTGGAGTGACCTTCTTGATGAACAAGTCGAACAATTATCACTGAAAGCAGTTGTCAGTGTAATGGGTTGGGTATTGAGGTAACGTCAGATCAGGTTAATTCAACACTTATGCATACGATACTTGAGTCTAGCCTATTTTATATTTCGCAAACGCGGCACATAAAAAAATCTGTTCAGAAAAGGTAAAACGGTCTTACAGTTGCTAAGTATTGAACTTACAAAGATAACTGTCCCGCCGCCACATCCGCCGGGCACGGGATTTCGGAAGAGTTTCTTTTTGGCGATAAGCAAACCTAAGAAATATATTTGAAAACACTTGAACAACACATTTTAGCCATCGTTTATTAGGTTAATATGTTTGAAAAGGCTACAAGTTGCTTTGTGTAAAACACGGTGAGCAACAGAAGAATACCGTTTCCTCCAGTCTTTGATTTTACTTGAGATCCAAGTTTTTCATGAATTATTGTTGTTACTTTAACTTATGTAGTTTCAATATCTGTGCATTAAAAAATGACGATCACTCACTGTTGATAGCCTTAGAAAAATGTGACAGAAGTGTAATGTTTAGAATAGCAAGACTGCAGTGATATACACTAGACACTTCCGAATTTGTTAAATATGTGTCAATCCTTAATGAAAGTTAGAGAAATGTGATTGTGAAGGAAATCTTTAAGTTTTTCTCTCGCGGTTTCATAAGAATGTGCATGGGTGATGCTGAGGGCTGATTTGGCTGTTTCTCGCATATGGTCGAGGATAGTTAGCTATTAAGATGATTTTCGTAGAACATTCGAGCAATATGGCAAAAATTAAGTCACCAAAAAAAACTCATGGCATGGTAATATTTTGAATACAGTTAATATATAGATTTAGGCCAGCCTAAAAGCGTAGCTCCTAGGCCGGGTTGTTCAGAGCCCGAGTAAGCTAACCCAGGAAAAGGTAGAATTTTGATTTGAGTTTTCAACTTTGCAGTGAGGTTTTCTGTATATTGTTTGGCCATCTGTTTTGAGTTTTAATGATCACCATATAGCCAAAAGAAAGCAGGAAAAAACATTTGTATAGAAGAAAAGGTTATAATTCGGTTACCTTTTAATCCTGGGTTAGCGTTAACCGCCTTCCGAACAATCCTGCCCTGTTTTCAACAACCTGTCATGGGCCCGCAATCCAATCGAAAACCAGCGTTTGGTCAGCGGTCAACTTCAAGAAAACGCGTGACCTCGATGAGCTGTAAACTTGAGCCCGCGATATGGTCACATGATACTGGTCAGTGGATACCTTGTCTTGACAGATGTCAATTGATCATAACATGGATGTCCAATATCAAAGAAGTTCACGGTAAAGCAAGTATGCGTGTCACTGTTCACCTATTATTTGGAGTATGGCCGCCATGTTGCGCGACTCCGTCGTCGTCGCCGTCACCGTCGCCGTCGTGCGTACGCGCCCACGAGCAATACCGCTAGCCATGATAACCATGAGAAAATCAACTCATGGGTTTCCTTTTCTTTCTTATATGAGTATGGAGCTCCGCTTGGCGGCCTTTCGGGCCGCCGGAGCTCCGCTAAGAAGAACTTATCGAGACTGAAGCTCTCAAGCTGACCCCGCGAGAGAATTGAACTTGAAATTATCCATATTTCAATTCGAACAGACGTTTCGCGTTAGTTAAAAACACAATAACACACGTTTTAAGCGATCTTACGAGGTTTGACATTAACTTTCTCGAGAATGCTTGAGAACTTAATCGCGGAGTCACTTAGAGAAATAAACTAAAAGAGTTGTTTTAAATAGTATTCTAAAAGTTACCGTGCCATGAGTAGATTTTCAGTAAATAATTTTTGCCCTTATTGCTCGAACTTTGAGAGGAATCCGTCTTAATTGTGATAATGCTAACAATATATGAGGTAAGATCATACCAGGAGTCCCAGGTCCCCCAACAAACTTGTGAGGGGAAAGGAAAACAGCATCTTTGTAGCTAAAAGAAAGAAATAAGTAAGTTAATTGGCTCAAGAGTACTTTTTCACTCCACCAGTGCTCAAACTGATCATTCGAATTGGCTTGATATATCAACATTCAAGGGTTTAACACTCCTAACAATCAGAGCATTCCATGATAGTCTCTTGTCTTTGATATCAGGACAGGGTAAACAATATAAAATGATGTAATCAAAGGTCGAATACAGACGCCTCACTGGTAAAGTAAGCTGATAGTGAACTTGTACATGACTTTCCCGTGATAATAAAAATGAATAATGGTAATATAATTGCCGAACTGAGATGCGCCTCATAGTAAATGGTTTGAACCCAGGAGTATGGAGTATACCCAGGACTGATGACAAACTTTACACGAGTCTTTCAGCCAATACCATCATAGCTAAACTGACCAATCACGTTCAACGGACCCGGCTTATAACATCATCGACTGACAAACGCTATTCACTTGACTCTGAAGATGACTTCCGCTCAGGTTGTCGAAACGTCAGTCACCAACAACAGTTCTTTTCAGAACTAGCCTCACCCGGACGATCACACTATACGAACTGAGATACGCTTATTGGAGTGATTTGTGGTTTGCTGCTTTCCTGGTCAAATTTTGTGACCAATTCAAATTTTCATGCAGTTTCTGTAGTTTCAGTGTATCCAATCGTACACACACATCAGTGATTCAGTCATCTCAAAACAATTCACAATTGAAATTTGAAAAAAAACCTGTGTTTTCCGCGTTTAGCACCTGTGGCGTGGATTTATTGTCAGCCCTTTTTGCGCTTTGTGACTGGCCAGACCTGAGTTTTTGATTTTTTTTTTTCGGTTGAAGCCAGTCGCCTACAGACCTGTCTATTGAAATGGAAGGTTTCTCACCCATTCTGTGTTGGGTTCATGTCGATGTTGAGGTACGGACCGGCTGTGGCATAATCCCAGAAAGATAAGGCGCCATATTTGTGACACAGTTCAGCTACAGCCACAGTGTCTGTCAGGATTCCAGTCACATTTGAAGCTGCTGAAAACGCCACGTACATGTTGTACTCTGCTAAACGGTATTTCTGTTAAGAAAGCAGCAACATCACTGAAAAGAGGTCGCTTTTTTAGAAAAGAATTGAGAATGATTAAATAGAGACATAACTAGCAAGGCTAAGGAAGTATGAGCATACAACATACGAACGAAAAAAGGAAATGAAATTCTCCCAAGCGAGATTCCAACTCACGTACAGTGGAAAGTGAGGGTAGTCCCCGAGGGTACCCCCCGTAAGTACCTCTTTTCCTTTCTAATAAGCTCGTGTTAAATATCATGTAGTTAACAGATTGACGTAAAAAAAGAGAATCGCCATGACTACGGCAAGAGAATACAATTTGAAATGAAATTACTGACGTCAATTACGACTGAACAGCAGATTTATGTTTGGAAAATGGCTGACCGCCTGACATTAGCCGGCGACAGTCGTCAAACATATTCCTATCAATTACTTCAAGCAACCTAAAGGGATTTGAATGATTCAGTAAATGCGCTTCAATTAAGGTGACAATTAACTGGTGGTTCAGGGGAACTTAACTCCCATGAGTTTCAGAAAATAGCACTGGAAGAAAATCTCAACGATTCGCTGAAAAATAATCTTACTTTTGGAGTGAATCAAGCCAAAAAGCCAATCAGTGGAACATGTCAGACAGTCCCTTTCTTTATACTGACGCGTTCTATTCGGTTAATAAAAAGCAATGGTTAAACAATGGTGTACAAATAAACATTTAAATGTGGACTAAGCCTTAGTAACAGTAACTGTTATTTTTACCTCAATGGCGCTTAAAGTGATAATTAAAGATTATAAACGTGACTTATATTAATCTGAATATGGCTTTAGAATCGTTTCTTGGTACCCGGATACACACTGTGGTGATCATTGAAACTAATGAAATGGCCTGAAAAACGAAAACGTATCAAGGATAGAAAAAAATTTGTCCAAGTAGTTTCAAAATATCTTCTCTTAGCAAATATTGAACCGGTGCTGAGCAGCAAGCGAGGGGTGAAAGGGCATTGTATNAAACTGTGTTCGGCCACCTTAAAACCAAACCAAACCAACTAGTAACCAATTAGACTAACTTAGCCAATCTCAAACCATAGTAAAACCAAAACCGAAACCTAAACCAAAGTAATTGCCTGATTACTTTCGACACTCACTTTTAAAACCGCTCTATGATCATGCAGTTGTTACCATTATTATAGAACTACCTTTGTTCCTGTTTCTTTCCAAGGTAAGATATTTGAGTGGTGTTCAAATGGCCCAACAAACACAACCTGAAAAAGTAACAAACGTATTGAATTGATGGAGATTATCTTAGTCACCACAAATACTGGATCGCTTATCTTCGGTTTCTGTAACATGAAGCGACTAGGAGTATTTCTACTCCCCTTTAGATGGGATGCTAGTCCATCGCAGGGGTGCCACCAGCATTAACTTTGAATGGAGATAGGCTTTGTGAGAGTAAAATGTTTTGATCAAGAACACAATACAATGTCTCCGACCAGGGCTCGAACCCAGGCCGCTCGATCTGGATTCGAGATTAGTACTAACCATGAGGTCACCGAGCCTCCCACGATCATCGCTTCAGAGACATCTTAAAACGATCAATAAAGTGTCTTGAATGACCTATTTGTTGAAGCAAAGATTGTTTGTAATACTCACAGATTTTTCCACTACTTTTCCTGTTAATTGTAGAGCGTGGATTAATTTGTGGATGGCCCCCGTCGTTCCGCTTCCTGTGAACACAACCACATCGTCTTTTCCAGCGTTTACGCATTGTTTGATGATATCCCTGTAATAAACATCGCAGTTTGTCAAGTTTGATTGTTTTGATTTGTACTTAGACAGGGGACTGAGGCAACTGGACCTGAGACGGGCAAACCTTGATTGCATAAATGAGTCAGTTGTCAACGGAATGAGCTTGAATGAAAGCAAGTGATGGAGATGAGTGATAACTACAGTACGAGGGAAGCACTGGCTGGTAAGTTAAGAAACCACAAAGGCATTGTTCACTTTAATTTTTCAATGAACATCCATCAGCAATTTTCAAGTCATTTTGGGATGCTATTAGACTTTCTAAAAGTCCTTTCCAATAATTCTTCCCTGGCCTCTTGGTTTCGCTGTTGGAAAGTACTATAAAAAAATCTTTTTCGTGTATAGCTTTTGTTCTCGGATATACTTAAGGATATGAATTTTATGGAAGCATTTTAATATGGTCTATCCAACTTAATTTCAAGTCTTTGAAAAAAGGACAGGGAAAAGCAGTGGAACATGAGGCTATTTATCCGACCAATACGTGTTTGTTTACTTACAGACGCGATCTGAGCTCCTGCGTGATCCTGATCGTTTGAGAGAATCAAGTTTGGACCTCTCCAAGAAGAACAGAGCCGTTCCTGCAGTTTGTGTAATTGCTGAAGTTTTAGTTGATTTAGTGAATGACCAAGTTTCTTCTCTACAAAGAAAGGGCATCGCAGCAAATTTGCATCGGCCGTTTTACCGACTTTTATAATATCGTGTTGAAAGCACTCGTCGATCGATGAAGTACTTTTGGGAACAGTGCTTTTATTCTCCGCCGTTCGTTGCGACTTCGATTCTCAACGTTATTTAATCAGGAAAGCTTTACAGAATTAAAGTTCTCCCCGACTAATTCCGTCTACTTTAGTTAATTCGGATTCTTGTCAGTATAAGCTAGATGTACATAAGTCTATAGCCGTTTGTCAGGCAGCTCTCTGGTCGATCGCAGGTTAATCTAAACAAAAACGAACAATTCCCGATCGGTTTAAACACGGTTTTGTATTTCCAGGAGGCGTTAATCTATGGAACAGCTTTTGCCGTTTGTCTGCTGGCTACATACTGCAATGTACACAAATAAGGTTATTTGAGTTAGGGAGCAGTACTTGTAAACGTTTTGATGGAAATCATTTTCTAATTTCGCGACGATCGCGCGCGGAGCACATGAAAAGTTAGAAACGTCATTATTATATGGCTAGCTCCGTGAGCGGGCAAGATGAATCAAATCCTGCGCTGTGATTGGCTACCCGAGCGGGCAAGATGGAGCTGTCTTGCCCGCNATTTCCCCGAAAGCCATATAATAAATCCTTTATTGACCAAGCTTGTTCGGTCAAGATGGCTGGATATTGGCCCCGTTCTTTTTTTGCGAGTTTATGGACCTCGACTCCGTCTCGGTCCATAAACACGCAAACAAAGAACTTGGCCAATATCCAGCCATCTTGACCTCACACTTGGTCAATAACCCATACATCATGTTTTTCGCGCCAAAAAATTTACGCTCTGATTCATATTCCTGCAGGTGAAACAAGTCGACCTCTAAATCTCGCGACTTTTGTGGCAAGTCTAGGACGCTATGAATACGTCGTGTAAGTCAGCAAGCTCTTTAGCCGAGTGCATGGGAGGAAACTAAAATAAGCTGGTTTCATTATTACCATTACGGTTTTTGCTCATTCAACTGGTTCAATTCTCAGAGAATGGTTTGTTCCGTACAAATGCCTTACCGTGCCTCCTGTCTGAAAGTTGTCGTCTGCCGTGACGTCACACTTGTTGTTGTATGAGTGTTGGCGTAAAAGGGGTACACATAGTCCCGAATGTAGTTTTCAATGCAACTGAGAGGTCTGGTGACAAAAATATCACACCTGTTTAGTAAGAAAAGCCTCATTTACTGTAACAACTGACACGTCATGTGATTTCCATTCCATAAAGCTACCTTCTCTGAAACGAGATAAAAATCAATCTTTTACTCCATCCAGTCAGAACCTATCCCTACATGGAGCAAACGTTATCAGATGCGCTAGCTGTTCTTCTAAAATTGTTTTGTCACGATGGTGTGTCAAGTTATCTCTTTCCTTTGTACAAAATTCCTAAACAAAGTGAGTAATGAGATACCAAACACTGAACAAGAATTGTCTAGACCGACAAGGATTGAAGCGCATTACAAACAAGTAGCATTACAACTCAAAGAAATACATTCTCAGTTTACAATGAGCAATTCATGGCCCCTTCAATCATCAGTGTGCCTTAGTGAGTATTGAATTTGTATTCTATTAGTATTACATAGCTTCCCTGGACTGTACAGTGTTATTAAGATCCACTTACTCTGTATGGTATTATTAAACCTACTTACTTGCCTGAAGCCGTGTAATCGCAGTAAATAACTAATAGGATAAAAAAAAAAAATAGATAAATAAGATACAGAAACTATTTAGGGATACATTACCTTTTAAGATTCTTATCCTACACCAGAATTCCAAAAATTAGCCCAGGGCTAAGAAGAGTGTTATCCGGGAAATGATTCTTCGCCTAAAGAAGGGGAAGATACCTTTTGACAGTTGCGAGAATTTCAATGCAATTCATAACCAGACTTTAAGCCTGAATGTACATCGTGGGTTAACAAAGAGTTAATTTAATTAGGCTGTTTGTTTTTCTCTCCCTACGTCGAGTCCCAGTGAGTAATTATAAGCTTTTATTTGTCCATGAACTTAACTTATGGCATGTCTCCAAATTTACACACATGTAAACTTTAGTAGGCATGTGGGCGATTACTTACATGAGCTGGCTAGTTCGGTTTGTCAATGTCTTTCAGTCCAGCCCGCAGGCATTATTTTATTTTTAGCTCTTTCTACCGTGCAGAATTGCGCAGAAATGATTTTGGCACGGTTTTAGCCGGTCCAGGTCGTGTTATCGGCCCCTAGGGGAAATCACGGGCAACTCCTTCAAGGAAGCCAAAGTGATTAAAGACCGAGAGTACGCGATTCGTACTAAGAGTACATCTTGATTAACACAGCAAGGGGTACATTTTACCAGAATGTTTCGGAAAGGTTATTTCGAGAACTTAACGGAAACTGAATTTGTTGAAAAATATTAACTGTATCTGTCTACAGCCATACCTCTTCTTTCGCCGTAAGGCCCTTCAAATCTTGTCTTGCCTCCAATTATATTTTCATCAATAAATTCCAAGATTGGAAGCATTGTTTCTTCGAGAAACTCCTGATAGAGATCTCCTTCCTCGGGAAGTTCAGCTAAGCTGTCATATCTTTCCAGATCACAGTCCTCTGTTTCTGCGGCTGCCAAATTAAAGATAGAAATCTCTGTGACAAAGAAATTCTGATTCGTGTGACGGTAAGAATGAGAACCATTTTGATTAGAGAGCCTGAAATAGTCAAAATATTATTGAGCAATTTTAAATCAAGCAGCAATGCTTGAGGGAAGCTCGAAAGAGAAAGAATTGACTGAAATAGAAGCATTCATAGCAAAAAAAATGAAAGTGTAAAATCGATTGAGTTACTAAATCATTTCCATGATCACAATGACGAGCCAAATTGAAAGTCGATGAGAGCTGAGCAGAGTTCAAACCCGCGAAAAGATGCGCTGTCATTGGACATTTGAGACGGCTCACTTTCATGAAAGGAGACATGAAATTTTGTCTCGTTTGACATGCAAATCAAGATTAGAAGTAGAATACAAGGTAATAACTCCTAATCCAAATCAACAGAAAATTAGTTAATCCGATAATTTGTCTATAGCATTGAGTGTGGTCCAGCCTGTGACAGGAGTTCGTGACATGCCTGTCATCACCTTATTAGCATTCAGTGTAAATGGTTTTCGAGCACGCACCCCTCCCCCATCACCCAGCCAAGATGTGTGAAGGCTGGCATCGCAGTAGGTGGAAGATGCATCTACATAATCTTTTTGGAGGAGGAATAACGGACGCAAGGAACAAGAAACACAGAGGCTTGTTCTGTTTGTTCCATGAAGCAATGTAACGACGACGCGTTTAATTCAGATGGAATTAATTTCTTTTCATTCATATTCATATCTGATGAAGAAACGAACAAATCTAAATTCGTATGTGCATAACATTTGAATAAAACAAGCATGCGAAGATGAGTGTAAGCAATACCTACCAAATGAAGTGTACCTTCTTGGAACCTATAGGATTAATTAGGATTACCTAACAGATGAGTTACGGATTCCTTTGATACCAAGTGTCGCTTAGCTCTTAGCTTAGGATCGTGACACCTCAATCAAAATTTTGAAATTTTTCATTCGTTGATAAATATTTATCTATATGAATGACAGTTTGAAGAACAACTCATGCTTAACCCAATAGTAAGATGACGCCGAAACCTTGCTGAGTGTATGTTCTCGACTTTGTACCCCGTGAAATCAAGCTCAGAAATTCAAGTGGGATAATAATTTATTGTTCATTAACATGTCTAGGCGAAAAAGGAAATGGTTGGCTCTTGTTCTCGGTCCACAAGTGACCTCGAGCCAAATATTTTTCCATCCTACTGCCCCACCTAGTGCTGAGCTAGTGAATATCTTATTCACATCTGATTGCTTCTTTTTCGTTTACTTTTCAACTCTCAGTTTTCGTTTTTATTTCTTAAGGATATCACAATTGTTATGTTGAAGATTTGTCACGAAAGCGTAAGATTCTCAAATTAAAAAATCGTAGCAAAATGTCGTAAACAAGTTCTGAATTGTGTCTACAAGTGTATTTGGAGTACGGTTGTAAAGACGAACTGTTTGTAACCCGCATATCACTAAATGTTTATAAAGTTGCAAACGATCCATGGAAGGCAAAGAAACAAACGCACAAACCGAAACACTGCAAACAAACTGTCCAACAACCCATGGTTTTTAGGGAGCAACGCGAAGAAGGTTAATATAACGACTTTGTTTATTTTGAATGTAAGTGCGTGCTTGGGTGGGGCGAGATCCTTGAAAAGCTAGCTGTTTACTCAAAGCTGCTCTTTTCGCGTCGTGAGATTTTCAAGATTAACACCACAGCTTACATCTGCTTTTGTAGCTGCAACAGTTTAATGAGAATCTCTATTCCATTTCCCATTAAAAATTTGAAGCGACAGCAGATTAAGCATATCACCTACAAAACCGTTCGCCAGTGAAATTTGATAAAATTTAAAATTGTTATTTGCGTCCATCTGTTAACAGGTATAATATCCTCATATCCGCAGTACTTACCTTTGGAATTTTCTCTGTACGCAGAAGATTCGCTTGAATTGAAAATCGTCTCCACATTCTTTAAGCGCGACGCACTGAATCGTTGCTGCGGATTTCATGTCACCGAAATGAAACTTTAAATTTAAAAAAAAATCCACCTGAGCTGTCTCCGGCCAGGCTAGTTATCAGTAAATGTCGACGAGATGGGGGCGTTTAGAACCTTTTCTATCACATTAAAAAAGAACACGACGCATTGATCAAGTGTCAACTAGCTTCTTTTTCTTCTGTCTTTGTACGAGTCGCTAGTTACCAAAAACGCTAAAACCCACCTATTACCCTGGCTTTAGATCAGGTTCCATCACAAACATTGGTTAGCACACAGGTTATTTTTACGATTTAACAGCTTATTTTTGTCATTTTATCTGAGATCTCAAGTCCCTTTGTCCATTGTTAACGTTGGCAACATATGGTAAACCAAAATCATCCTTTACGATACAGATCGAACAGTCAGAAATTAAAGGGTTTGTTTTTTGTGATTTCCTTTGTTGTTTTTAATTACACGTCCATTTCAATCGCTAACAATAACTAAGTAGCATTGAGAATCAATATGGCAATGTTTTCTTAATGCCAGATCTATGGAGATAATCAGTGCTTGTTGATCGATTTTGCCCTAGGATCATCCGCCATCTGAGCTGTGGTATAGATATAGACGCTACCTGACTCTCGACTTGTCAGCCTTCCTTCTGTTCCAGCAACATATTGTATCGAACACCTTTTGTGAAGTTTAGAGTTACCTTTAACAAAATTAAACTTCTTTTCATGTTGCATGCATTTTTGTTTTTGTTTTCGATTTGGTAATTACGAAGTGTTGGGATGCAAGATTTGGAAGAAAACATTTTACTTGCAATCTGTAATCTGCAACAAGAGTTTCCGGTACGAAAGCAGACGACCACTCGACGCATGTTGACGTAGCATGTCAATGTGTGGCTGACTTTCAGAGGCCCGCGACCTTGTAAAACTGTTAAGTACTTTTTTTAAATCTTTACTTTAAGCGCGTAGTAATAAACTCTGGTTCAAGAAACGAAAGCTCATTTGTTTTGTCTGTTCGCTCTTCGCTTGTGACAGGGAGAAAGCGTTTCAGCCTGAAAGAATGGTTCTTGTCATGCCTCTTCACCCAGATGCAAACATTAATTAAACGCCTTCACGCATAAAGAAAGACTGTTTCTTAGATGAAGGAGACTGTTACGTCATCCTTGTGGAGGCCTTTTAAATTAACTAAATGAAAGCAATTTGTTGGGAGTGTTATTACCACTGAAAGGTTGACAAGACAAGTGCCTTTATTTTATTAAGCTTCTGCGGTTCAAATGAACATTTGTGACAGTTGCAGGACTATGATAGCTCGATTCACAGTTTTCTATTTTTTTGCCGTCGCAAAGGAGCTCAAAGTTTGATTTCATTTCGCAAAGCTCAGTAAACACAGCAAGCTACATTAACTGAATAAATCGTTCACGAAATCTGATTTGGGGAGATTGCAACTTGTAAACAATAATGTGTCATAAAAGAGTCATAAAAATCGGGACGTCTTTCAGTTTGAGAACAAAATTATCTCAACCACTCTTGAATAGTTTCGGAAAGTTAGCAATGAAGTTCTCTCGCGAATCCACAAGCTGATCTTTCGCTGGAAGGCATTGGGGTTCGTCTTTTCTTGTGTATTTCAGTTGTCACCTTTTTAAAAATTTTACATATTGAGTACACATTTCAACGGGACTTCCTTTGATTTAACGTAAACTCCGCCGCGCTACTTCAAATAGCGACAGACTGCTGTCATTAAGTGTGGACTTTTTATTAGAATCATTATTGAACAAGCTCTCGTTTTTCACAAAAGATCTATTCATGTCGTGTTTCGTCCTGTTAACAGTTTAAATAATGAACCACGAGATATTCTTGACGTTCTAGACGATGTGGAAGTAATCGGAATCAACTATATTCCTCAACAAAATGTCGGGTCGGCCCCCCCAAAAAAACATCCGATAAAATTGGTAGCAAAAATTGGTTTGTCCGCGCTTGCTTTGCTTAGTCAGCGGATTCGTTCAAAGTTCAAGTCCGATTACCTTTTGGCAAAAATCCCGCGCATACCTAGAAAGTAAAATTAGCATACAACTTGCGGTTTAAATCTTGTCACTGAATAGTGCAAATAGCGGTAGAAAAAGTAACTGGTGGAGCTTTGAAAGTTCCCGGTTCAAGAAACTCTTGGAATCTCAGCGCATTAGCGAGCCTTAAGTAGCCGTGCTTTAACTGTCGAACACATTTTCCAAGTAAGACATGCATTATCCCACTCAGCTGATGTGCATTAAGCCACTCAGCAGAATCCTCGGTGTAGTGACGTGTAATTTCTCGTTGGCATGTCGAAAAAGCTGTAAAATGTCTCTTTTCAATCTGCCAACGAGTAGTTAGGCAAAGACGTCACTGGTTTCTATGAAAAAGTGACCTTCGCCTGCTCCGTGCCATAGATGGAAAATTTGTTTTAGTCCTCTGATTTCCGTCTGTTTCAAAAACAGTCACCATTTCAAATAATGCGACTTGCAGAAAAATATATTTTCAATTTACTGCAAGGGTACTGTGGTATCCGCAAACAAAACACTAGAATCTGGGTGTATGTATGCTTGGGGTTTTCCTTTGAAAAAAAAAACTCAACGTCTTGAGCGACGAAGAAGGCAAAAGTCGACGGAAAACTGAACTATTAGAAAACCCATTGGCGTAATGTTAATCTTGGATCTATTTAAGGGAGGAGGTACCTAGTAGCCAAGGTCACGAAAAAATCACAAACATATTTTTCCAGCAAAAGTCATATTTTGAACGCAAGCATCGTACGGCTAAAACGTAAGAAAAGCCGGCATCCAAGCTTTAGAGTACAGCACATGTGTGAGCCAAACTTGACGTATCCGGCAAGACGACCTTTCTGATCACGAAGCAAAATCTACTTCTTGCTAAATATGACTCCACAACAGACAAATAGGTTATCGGTAGTTAATGTTTGAGCGAAAAATTCCTCGCCACTCGGCTGATCTACCCTAACTTCTTCTCTTACTATCCATCGCTCAAGTCGGGTTGGCAGCTGTCTGCCTCAGAAAAGGACACATGCGGTACTTTGATAGATTTCTTACACTCTTTCTTTTTTATGAGAATACATTTCATAAGAATATAGAGGCTGAAATCTACTGAATTTTAATAATTTTAATAATTTTGTCTGTTGAAAAACTGCAATACAATTACATGTTTTTAACTAAACCCTATATAATTCTTCCTTTTTCTAAACGGCAAAAATAGCCATTTGAAAAGCAAGAAATAAAAAACACTACAGTAGCCGTACGTTCGACGCTAATAACATTTCTGCAAGCAGTTATGGGCGTTGTATCAGGTTTTAATGCCTGCAGGCTGGCTTCAAAATTACTTTAGCACCATCCAGACACCAAATACATTCGAAAACAGAAAATTAATGTCAAACGCTATAATCTAAGAATATTTGCAATAATATTTTTAGCCTAAAATCGGCAGAAAAATAAGAACATTGAGCTTCGGCCAGAAAAACAATATTCTTATAAAAAAAAAAGGGTGTATATGAGCCCAGTCGACCGGGCTGTTCCGGTTACCGAGGTCTCGCCTCTCTCCAATTTCCTTGAAAAATCGCGGTGTGTTCATATGCGCCCGAGAAGGCGGGCCGCAGCCAAAAACCAAGATCTCGGTAACTGAGGATAAAAATTTTCTCATATGAACACCCCAGCACGGGTAACCGGGACGAAACATTTTTGACAAAATAGCTCCGTTCCGCAATATAACAGTCAAAATGACGTATTCTAAGTTTAGTCTTGTATGTATTTCCAATTCAGAAGTATGTAAATTAGCATTATGGGTAAACTTTATACAAGAGTCAGCAAAGCTGCGATAGCTGCGAAGGATACAACTTTATGTGGCATAATTTTGGCTTTGTTTCGTGAATTTTATCCCGGTCGACCGGGCTGAAATTTGCCATATGAAGAAACAACAAAACTCGTCACCGGCGGTAAGGCCGAACCAGCCCAGTTACCGAGTTCATATAAAGAGACCCTGAATTTGAACAAAACACTCATGCTTGACCTAACTCGAGAAACTGTAGGTTAAACTATAGTTTCTCGCTATGTGTCATCATGACATTATGTGAGGAGTGTATAGCAGTATCTTACGTTGAATAAACAGCGAGGAGCCAACCACCACAAAAACCTACCGATTTCTGCCGAATGTGCTCACTAATAAGTAATCGCTTATTTCAAACGAGGAAGGTGAACTTGGGTAGAGAAAATACGAAATACCAATAACACATTCTTTAGTTTGTCCATAGTTTAGCCAGTGAAGAAAATCAAACGAACTATTACTGATGCTACCTGGTCCAATATACGCCACAGAAAGTGTTAACGCTCTGAAAGTCAAAAACTGACCCGATTTGCAGTCAGTTTACCGCACAATGTCAACAAAATAAGCATACGTGTTATCGAAGTAAAAAGTCATTCATGCATGCACAGTTTAAGACTCTTGTCACATGCAATAATCCTTGGATGTTATACTGTAACGGGATCATCGTTTTCTAGTGCAAGTGACACCATCTGAAGGCGTTTCTATCATTTGATAAATTTAGATTATTATCTTACCAGGATTGGTTGAGTCCATGATGTAAGAGTTCCAGCCAATTCACAGCTGGGTTTGGATCAAAGCCTCAGCTCCTAGGTGTAAATCAGCCTTACTGATAGAGTTTGTGTTGAATTTAGCAAATGCGGCAGACACCGTTTAGCTATTGCTGTTCGGCCCGCATGTAATAACGTTTCGGCAAAACATGTTAGTTGTCTTCTCAGTAATTAAATCGAAGCCAATTAATCAACAGTAGAAATAATTAAATCAAGATAAACTACCGACACCTTGGAAAATCTAAGTAGTTCACCTAATATACTTAATAACTTAACAACTCCTCCAACATAGCAAACTCTATGCACGTGAAAATGTACCCTTAGCTTCAAGATACTACACTCGATTTTGTAAATAAATGTGCGGAAGACTTTTAATTTCGAACAGTAGATATTGTTAGTATTGTTTTGGTAATTCCAGTTTGGAGTTAACATCAGTCCTTTTGATTATGTAATTACGATGAACCAGCTTTGTTTCTATTCGTACTGATAAAAAACGAAATTTGCCACTTAATTAAACTAGTTAGTACTTCCGCTCTCTAGAAACAAGGTTCATTTGATGACGAAAGCGTATTTATAAACATGTACAGTTTGTTTTACATCGGCAGTTTAGTGGCTAATAGCAACAGTTATATCCAGCTAAATCAATCGTTACGGTGCAAGCAAGAAGCATAACAGTTTTCATTTCTGTAACGGTGTTAAGGTAGCTCTCCTACGCATTCTGACGACGAAAGCTAAGTAATCGGCCCGCGCCCAAAGGAAAACCTTTGGATTTTCCCACACTTATAACGTAAGCATGGCCACAAAAAGCCAAACTGACAGCGAATATTCTCGTGTTTCCGTCGATGAAATTCTTTAACGATTCGCCTTAATCACAGTCCGCCATGTTGGATGCAACGTCACCATTTTTCGCATGAAAGCGAGGCCACGCGTGTTGAAACATCATGGCTGAGTCAGCGAGTACTTTGATTTCTTCAGAGTTTTGGCACTGCAATCTGGTGGACATACCGACAACAATATTTACCTGTGACAGTGACAGTATATATTGGCTCGGGGCAGTCTACAACAACAGGAGCGGATGAACTTTCCTCACCAGAAGCTTGGCCGAAAGTTGATGCTATGGATTAAAATGAAAAACATAAAAATACCTCTGATTATTTTGCGGTTTTAACCAAGGAATGTTTAAAGAAATACCGACAACAATATTTACCTGTCACAGTGACAGGGGACGATGGCACGCTTACATCAACCAATCGCACTCGTGCACGCGGTGGTTC